TTTTTCTGCGGTACGCGGGCCTCTCACTGTAGTGGCCTCTCCCGTTGTGGAGCACAGGCTCCGGACGCACAGGCTCAGCGGCCATGGCTCACGGGCCCAGCCGCTCCACGGCATGTGGGATCTTCCTGGACCGGGGCACGAACCCCGTGTCCCCTGCATCGGCAGGCGGACTCTCAACCACTGCGCCACCAGGCGCAGCCCGAAGAGTTTGTCTTTGCTCCTGCTATTTTACATCTCTTATGTTTCCTTTTATAATTGTTTCCTCAGGTTTGCACCTTCTGCCCCATCTCCTCACCACATCAGCCCCCGGAGAGTGCCAGCTCCTCCTTCAATAATGCAGAGAACACAGCCTCCCCATACCCAGCAGCCCTCAGCATCACACCTGAAGTCTTATCAGCCAGAAACAAGCTCTTCTTTTCAACCAAATGGAATCCATGTCCATGGTAAGCAAGTAGCTGACAGTCCCTTGAGTTTTGAAAAGTGATGTTGTGCTGTTGCTTTTAATCAAGTGTCTTAGTTACCTGTTGTGGATTTCAGGTGTCCTGCTATACACCACCAGGCTTTGGCTTTAATAACTTTCCTCTAAAATTTCATGCTTAATCAGCATGAAATCTTGCAGTATCTTCCTGGCTTTGACCCTAAGATGGTATGACTTAGGGCACCCCCAAGTGGTCAGCCCAAGGTGATGATCCATTCATTGACCCAGCACTTTTAACACCTCATGGTTAGGCCCTAACAACAGCATCTTGTTTCCTAAACAGTAAACAGTGTAAAAGGGAAACAACAGGAGTCCTTTTGCCCATGCATGCCTCTCCTCTCACAGGTCTTTGCCCCCATGCCCATATGCCCAGATCCTCTCCATCCTTCAAGGCCCAGATGAAATGGCACTTCTCTCTGAAGCCTTTAGCCTGATCTCCTTGCTGGATGTAATCTCTCCTGGCTTTAAACACTTGATTGCATATCGCCTGTATTTCTGATACTATTGATACTTATGCTCTCTCTCCCTTGTAATTTACTTCTCTGTGAGTAAAACTTGTCTTCATTGGTAATGTGTAAACTTCTTTCTAAAGTCAGAATTTTCTGACCCACTGTTCTTTCTTTTAGAGAATTTAGCACAGTTCTTCACGTGTTGTAAAGACACATAGATACTGGATGAGTTCATGAAAGAAGAGGAGGGAAGGAGGGCAGGAGAAATCATGATGGTTTTCAAAATGTGTTTAACCCAGAACATGCGTGGAGGACTAAGTTTAGCTTAATTTCTTTTCTTTACTTAAACCAATTTTGCTGACTCAGGCAGATATCTTAGTGAACATCCATAGAAAGCTGAGTTGTCAAATCATATAGACTCCAAGTATACATAGGCTTTTACTTCCTAGGGACCAGACACACCTTCTGTATAAGCAGAAGGGATACCATACATTTAAACTGAGGGTCTCAGCACCTGAGAAACATGACTCTTTTCCATCTGTCTCCTGTTGATTCCTGAGTTTGCTCTTTATGAGTTATTACTTGAAATTAATGGGTGGTAGGGTATCCCCCAAACAAATCTAAATCAGTATTCAAGCTGTGTGGATAAGTGTGAATAACTTCCCAAGATGGCAGAATCCAGCAGTACTATGGAGCTAGGTTTGGATAAGAACATCAAAGCAGGGGTCTAGACAGCCAACGAGGAGACAAAATGCAGAGAGTGGCAGGTTGTTGGAAGGGAAGAATCTTGGAAAGCCCAGGGCCACTGGCTCTGGCTCTAAGTTCCATCCATTGCTTCTCCCCTCTCCCTGATAGTAGTCACACAAACCCCCCGTTCCCCAACAAAGCTTGGGCTTTGGGTAATTTTTACCTTCTTCTGTCAGTAAATTTCTTCTCAAGCTTTATTATGTGTTTACTCAACCAAGAAAACATTCCTTGAGTGCCTACTATGCGTAAAGCAATGAATGTGTGAGGAAGACACAGAGCACTCTGTCTTCTGAGGGGGGCCTCCCAACCCTGACAAGGAGCTCTTCTAATGTGGGAGAGATTCAGGTGCTCTGAAGCCACCCTTACCTACAGGCAGGAGGCAAACATCATGAGTTTGGGGTTTGTGGAATACAGAATAGGTCACTGATTCTAAGACACACAATTTTTACCTTCATATTTTAACACTGCTGAAATCTGAACATATCCCAGTCAGTGGCATCCTGTAAGTGGCAGTGATTTTTCTTTCTGGTGCTATATAGAACAATGGAGCATTTCACAGTCAATGGTGTCATAATTCCAGTGAAATGCAGTATAACACACTTTGATTACAATTGTGAAAAACACATTTTAAAATTTCAAAAATTAACCTACTTGCATGAAAACATATTGGAAGGAAATTCTCCAAAATGTTGACAGTTTTTTTTTAATCATGGTGGTAGGATAATGGGTGGTTTCTTTTCTTCTTTTTTCTGCTTTCTAAAGAAATTCTAAAAGAGATTTTGGAATTAGAACAATTTGAATGCAAATACCAATCTACTCAACTGTGTGACTCTGGACAAATTATTGAGCCTCAGTTCACTTTCATTAAATGAGGGGAGCCTTACCTACCTTCTCTCATCAGTTGTTACGAGAATTCAACAAGCAGAGCACCTAGTACTGTGCAGGAGCTTAACTAATTAATGTCCTTCCTTCTACTCCCTTTTCTTTATTAGACTATTTGAGAATAGGAATAATATTTGTAGTCTTAGGGCAAGCATAATACTTGGTGCAAAGTAGGCATTTAGTAAGTATTTACTGAATAAGTGATTGACCCTTTCTTATTCACCAAATGAATAATGAAGCAAGAGGGTACAGATAATGGGATTTACCTTATCATTTTGCCCTGCCTCTTGGCAAAAGACTCTTCTGCCATATTTCTCATTTTTAGTTGAACAATGAATTTTCTCAAGTTCAGCTGAAACTTGAAATTGTGGTTTTATTTTTTAATTTCACTTTAATTGTTAAAAATTCCCATGGCCAGTAAGAAATTGCTAATAGTGTTACCGATCCTCCCTAGCTACTCCCCAACAAATGTCCTTCTGCCCAGTGTTGTTGGAGCCAATAGAACGAGACTGAGTTCGTTTCAGAAGCAAAGGAAAGCTTTATGCTTTGATCAAAGAATGGAGAGGCTCCGGCTCCTGCTCTAGAGCACAGGCTCTCCCAGAAAGGCTGGAGGCTGGGCTGCTTTATAGGGTTCTCTCCTGAAGAGGGGTGGGAGGAGTTCCTGCGGGTCCCGTGCAGCATTTCTGCAAACAGCATGCCATCCTCATCTTCAATTGCAGTGTCGTGCTCAGTGCTTCTGCACAATGCATAACAAGCTGAAGTGTCTGGCGCAGCAGTTCTGCACTGGGAACTCAAATCCGACATATTAAGTGCAAGACCCACTATAGGCAAGTGAAAGTAAACACGAAGAGGTTATCTTATCACCTAGGTTGTGTCTTATTTTTCCCGGGGACCCCAGTGGACTTTGCCAGTGACAGTAGCAGCTCTAAAATAGATACATACAACAAGCCTTTCTGGAAGAGATCAAGATATAGTTACGCAAATTGGAAATCATGACTTTCTCCCAGGAGGATGGGCAAGTGGCTGCAGTGAAGAGCTTGCAAAGAGAGTGCTCATGCATTAGCCCCTGGGCAACTGCTAGAATTTAGGGAGTAGGGATCCAGATGCAGACTTAGCCTCAAGCATTTTTTTCTGAAAATGTTTTTGTGAAACTTTCTGGGCTCATCAACTACTCCTTAGGATAAGGGCCCAAATTGATCTAATATTTTTCAAGTGGGCGATACGGTGCTGGGAGTGAGGGGAGCAGAGACCCTCTAAATGAGTTGCTGTTATTGGCCGTGCCTTTCAGCTTTGGTTGCACTAGTTTGCTCGATGGTGTTATATAGCATCTTGGTAACAAGGAACTTCACCCCCATTAAAAGTAGATTTTTAAAGCCCCAAGCAGTGTCGGGTTTGCTAACATGATAGCTACAGTGAATATTTGTTCTTTCTTTCAAGAAGTTCATGGCTTTAATGAGCGTTGTCACCCCCATCCTCTCTGTGCTCCCTACTGCAGGTAGAGGTCAGAGAAAAATGTCATCACTGTATTTTTAGAGATGGGAACTGAGACATAGAAGAATATTAAATGTCTAGGCATTGCTGCCTTGGCAAAGTACACAGGCGTCTCTAACAAGAAGTCCACATTTCCAAGCCACATTCTTAATCTACCATTTTTAAGTCAAAGGCACATCAAAATAAATATGTGTTTATATCTATCCATGGAATATACGCTTGTATGTAGGTGCTGTTTCATTACACAGAGCCATGAAAGGTTAGTACTCAGAGTGGCTTTAGTCTTATAGATGAAGAAGGAAATGAGGTCCATTGAGTTTTGCTCATGGTGTAATAATTGATAAGAGCTTAGATGTTGTGTGATCTATGTATATATTTATTACAAGGTATTTTGTAAAAGGCATACTTTGAAAAGATTAATAGCACTGCTTTTTCAAGTTCCCTTAACCTAGTGGATGACCCAGGACCAGAGCTCAGTTTTGTTGATTCTGCATCCACTTCATCCATTCATACTGCCTTCGTTAGTAAGGGTGGATAAGGTGTCATTTCTTTTAATGTTTGAATACTGGTTAACATTTACAGGTCTCTGGGTGGCATCTCCAAGGCAACTTCCTAGTACATTTTAGTCTTTTATTTAAGACGTAAACAGAAGGACAACTCTTTCCAATCATGTAAGCTTGTTCTTCAGTCTTTTCTTTCTCTTTAGGACCATTCTCTTGCCTGGGCAAAAGCTTCAGAATTTTGCCTGGATTAGTTGCCTGAGAGTTGATATTTGTACATTTTGTTATGGTACTAATGGATAATTTCTTTTTAAATGCTCTATTCACTCCAAGCTGTTAGAATGCTGTGGGAATTCCTAGCACAGTATTTTCACAACCTTCCTGCTTCTGGACCCGTCAAGGAGAGGCCAAGTTCAATTCAGCAAGTGTTTATTGGTCACCCACTTTTGTCAGGCAAACATGAATGTCACTTAATCAATGCAATGTGATACATGCAATAACAGAATGTATCAGAGGCTCCCAGTTTATTGAGAAGAAGGTGTCAGAGAAGGGGTCCCAGAGGTGAATAGAGTTTCTTCTTGAATAGAGTTTTGTTTTTGTTTTGTTTTATACTGGAATATAGCCGATTAATAATGTTGTGATAATTTCAGGTGCACAGCAAAGCGACCCATCCATACATACACATGTATCCACTCTCCCCCAAGCTCCCCTCCCACCCAGGCTGCCGTATAACATTGAGCAGAGTTCCCTGTGCTATACAGTAGGTCCTTGGTGGTTATCCGTTTTAAATATAGCAGTGTGTACATGTCAGTCCCGAACTCCCAGTCTATCCCTCCTCCCCGCCCTTCCCCCCTGGTAACCTTAAGTTTGTTCTCTAAGTCTGGGAGTCTGATTCT